GTCTCAACTCAACTCAACATAACTGAACTCATTTCAATATAAAGCAGTTTAAAACAAGTGCAATATAATGAAAAGTTGTTTAAAACATGATGTCAACTCTGTGTGTATGCAAAGCTACATATAACTCTGAAATGTATGTAAAAATACAAATAACTGTGAATAAAAGAACACAATAACTTCTGTGGGAGTTTCTCTAATAGGCAACCATCACGTAAGAGTTATTGTGATAATACAACGTTTTGCCTCACGCTGCCAAGGTCATCCTATACATTGGCGGAGGTATAGAACCTGAACTACTAAGTGGATCCACTAGTCTATGCTAAAAATCACTAAAGGAATCATCTAAAAAGTATGACCCTTTTCTACCCATGGTGTCTACATGGTTTATGGGGGCTGTGAGTTGTCTGAACTCTCCCCATATCGGTGCTCAATACTACTCCAAAAATATAATATAATATTAGCTCTTATGTTTAAAAACCTACTTCTTCTGTGATTTGAGATTAGTGCTCAAAAACTTAGCTCAAAGGCTATCTTGGAAATCAAAGTTTCCCCTCTTGCTTCATTTAGAAAGCGATTACTCTTTTCTGAAAACTAGCTCGAAGGCTCTTTGGAAATCGAGGTTTCCTTTCTTGTTTAAATGTGAAAACATTTTAAACCCTTTGGGAATACATAGTCCCCATATACTTTTGAAAAAATGAACTTCAAGCTTTACTCTGTACTGAACTCAAAACTTAAGTCTTAAACAAAGTTAAAACTTTTGCAAAGACTTTTGGAAAACTTTAAGAACTTCTCTAGACTTTGATCTTTACTGCTCTCGAATTAGCTCTTAACTCCCCTTGAATTGAATTATGGATTCAAGGATTATGATTAGTGATAGGAAAGGTCTCATGATGTTTAGGAATGATTTTAGATAGCTAAACATGAGAAAAGTCACGAAATCACCGTCTTGGAACAAGTCCGCGACGCGGAGGTGTTTTAAATAATTACTCGCGAAATTAAATTTTGAAACAGAGGAGTCCGCGTCTTAACCACGATGCAGAGAAACTTTTTGGTTACTAGGGAGCAAGTCCGCGACGCGGACTTGCGTGCCAGATCACACTCAACTTTTTCCTTCTCCATTTTACAGCCCCAATTTGCCTAAACTCGAATATTTTTCTAAAATTCATTTTAGATTCCAATACCCAGCATATGTACTTAAGAACCTAACTCAAAACAACTCTATAATTCGACTCAAAGATCTCAGAAACTCCTCAATTCATCCCAATTCAAGAACAACATTCAAATTCAAGAATACATGTCAAGAACATCAACTTTCAAACTCTTTCAGGACAAATTTCACTGAACTAAACGTGTTTGGCACGTGGGTGAACGAACCCAGCGCTATGAAAGACTCACATACCTTGTAAGATCAATTCCTTGGCTAATCCACAACCAAAACCGATCGTTCTTGGCGAATTCTTGCTTTTCCTCTTCTCTTTTCCCTTCTTTTCTCTTTTCTCCAAGCCCTAGCATATTTTCCAATTGACTAAACTGATCTCCTTCTGATTTGACCCTAATTTATTCACTAAAATGAATTAAATTAATTGGGTAAGGAAAAGACTAATCTACCTTTCAAAATCCGGATTAGACTTTCCTTAATCCAACATCCCAATTTCCAAAGGGATTAACTTACCCATACGAACTCGGAATCGCGTAAACTTGGCTGCGTTGGAAAGATCATTCCAAGATATTTCCAACCATATCTGGAACTACACCTAACTCATCCTGAGCTAGGAGCTATGGCCATTTGAAGTTGACCAAAACCCAACTTTTCCTAACTTAAACAAATTTCCAGATTTTCGTTCTTTCCAAAATTGACTATTTCCAATTATTATCTTCTTCCTAGTTATTTTAACTTGCGAGTGTTACAAGTCACCTTAGAATATCGATATGAACAAAATAACAAAATTTCACATTTTTTCGTGACTGTCCGAAAATATCAAAAATTTTGATTTGTAAACGTTTGAAAATTATAAAAATCAAGAAAAAGACATAAAAACACCTCAAAAAATTCACGAATCGCACCAGTAACCTTAGAATATCAATACGAATAAAATATCAAATTTTCACTTTTTTCGTGACTGCCCGAAATATATCAAAAAATTTAATTCGTAAAAGTTAGAAAAATATAAGAGTCAAGAAAAAGACATAAAAATACCTCAAAAAATTTCCGAATCGCATCAGTCACCTTAGAATAACGATACGAACAAAATAAAAAAATTCACATTTTTTCGTGACTGCCCAAAAAATATCAAAAATTTTAATTCATAAACGTCCGAAAAATATAAATATCAAGAAAAAGACATAAAAACACCTCAAATAATTCCCGAATCGCACTAGTCACCTTAGAATATCGACACGAATATAGTCTCAAAATTTCAATATTTTTTCGTGACAGTCCGAAAAATATCAAAAATTTTAATTCGTAAACATCTGAAAAATATTTTTAAAAAAAAGAAAAGAAAAAAGGCATAAAAACATCTCAAAAAATTCCCTAATCGAACCAATCACCTTAGAATATCGATACGAATAAAATATCAAAATTACACATTTTTTAGTGACTGGCCGAAAAATATCAAAAAATTTAATTCGTAAACATTCGAAATATATAAAGAATCAAGAAAAAGACGTAAAAATACCTCAAAAAATTACCGAATCGTAACAGTCACCTTAGAATATCGATACGAATAAAATATCAAAATAGTCACATTTTTCGTGACTGTTTGAAAAATATCAAAAAATTTAATTCGTAAACGTTCGAAAAATATAAAAGTTAAGAAAATTAAAAGACATAAAAATGCCTCAAAAAATTTCTGAATCGCACCTGTCAGCTTAGAATATCGATACGAATAAAATCTCTAAATCTTACATTTTTCGTGACTACCCGAAAAATATAAAAAAAATTATTCGTAAACGTTCGAAAAATATATAAATCAAGAAAAAGACATAAAAACACATCAACAAATTCTCGAATCGCACCAGTCACCTTAGAATATTGATATAAATAAAATATCAAAATTTCACATTTTTTCGTCACTGCTCAAATAATATCAAAAACTGTAATATGTATACGTCCAAAAATATAAAAATCAAGAAAAAGACATAAAAACACCTAAAAAAACTCTCGAATCACACCGGTCACCTTAGAATATCGATACAAGTAGAATATTAAAATTTCATATTTTTTCGTGACGGCCCAAAAAATATCAAAAATTTTAATTCGTAAACGTTTGAAAAATATAAAAATTAAGAAAAAGACATAAAAAATGGGGAGGAGTGCATGTAGAATGGCCCTCTTTGTCTGTGATCTAGTAGCCCGAGGTGAGTGATCTTCAGGTGTGACATTTATTTGCACCTCAGAACTACTAGCTTCGGAGTCGTCATGACCCTGTGATTCAGAAGCCGGGGGGGGGCAGGTTTGGTTGCGTTCTTTCTTCGAGGAGGCATCGTACCTGAGAAACACAACACTCATTATTACACAACTCAGTAAAATGACACACTATCGGGTACTCAGACTTCCCCTGTGTATTTTCATCGTGACGCCTTGCCTTTAAGAATACCGTCACCTAATCTATCATTGGGATGGGCCATCGAATCAAAAGACGACAGAAATAAAAGTACAGAAAAATTAATATTTTACAAATCAAGTACACTCTACGGAAGCTCTTATGGGCCATGGTAGGTACCATGGTCCGTTAAACCCCTCGTGGATTTAACACAGACTCGATGTGCAACAGGAGGTTGACCAAGTAATGTTCATGGATGGGTACACGACCCGTGGATTGAACCACGGTCCACGATACTGGTCGTGAACTTACCTGATGGGTGGAAGGAATGCAAGTGTTTTCCACGATTGGTTTCATGGCTCGTGGTAGCTTCCACGGTCGGTAAAACATATCATGGTCTTACACTTGGCCAGTGTTTAAGTCATCTTCTTCCCACATTTAATCCATTACACATTTACAGTACCAACCCCCATTTTTACACAGGTTCACAACCAACACATATAAATTCAAGTAACCCTCATCAATTTAGAACCAATTTAGACGAACACATTTAGCACCCAATTACGACCTAATGTGATCATACCCACATACAAGAAAACTCAACTTTATGCAATTTAAACTAACCCACAACAATTCAATATCAACTAAGATTAATCATCACAAGATCATGCTAATCTCAATTAATTCGAAGTAAATCTAACTTGTTTCAGACAAGACCGAACTTGCAAAAAATTATGAAGTGACTTACTTGGAAATAATGGAGAGTTTCGCCCACATAGAAGAAGATGAAATTAACTGGACAAACTTGATCAACTTAGGACTTAGGGTTTTGATTCTTTTAGGAACTACGAATTAATGGGGATAGGAACTGCTTAAAATTCTTTAGTAACCGTTATGGAGGATAATAAGAGGAAAAACCCTGACCTTTGGTGCTTTAGGAATCATATATATGATTCTTTTAATTTTGGTGCCATCACGGGTCGGGTCGGGTTGGGTATTGGTAGGACTGGGTTGTGGATGACGGACCGTGAAAGTGCACGTGAAGGTCACCACGGTCCGTATAGTGGCTCGTGAACCTAATTTGGGAGCGAAAGACTTACATGTTGTTCACGAGAGGCTAGACAGTTCGTACAACTCATGACGAACCGTGAACCCTTCCGTGAACCTTTTTCTTGCAAATTCCAGTAGTTCCTTTAGGTTGGTGCTAAGATTGATGGACCGTGAGAGTGCCCGTGAAGGTCACCACGGTCCGTGAGACTGCTCGTGAAAAGCAGTCTGCACCCAGTTCCTGCACTTTTTAAACCCATTCTCTCCTACACACATCAACACACAGTGACTCTATAAAAACTAAGAAAACTAAAGAAAAAGGGAAATACCTACAACAATTACATCTTGGGTTGCCTCCCAAGCAACGCACAATTTAACGTCACAACGCGACGCAGGTTACTTGATTACTCAGACTTCATCAAGTTTACATTCCTCCACAATCTTCACATCTTCTGAAACACCCAAATACGCCTTGATTCGCTGGCCATTTGCTTTGAACCTCTCGCCCTTATCATTTTCTAGCTCAATAGCACCCGACTGAAACACCTGTGTTACCTTAAAAGGTCCAGACCATTTGGATCTCAACTTTCCCGAAAACAGACGAAGTCTGGAGTTGAAAAGTAATACCAAGTCACCAGGAGTGAAGCTTATTTTCTCAATATGCTTGTCATCATATAGCTTCATCCTCTCCTTATACAGTGCAGACCTCTCATAGGCTCTCAAACGTAAATCATCCATCTCATTGATCTGATCCAACCTCAGTTTTGCAGTTTCACTCCAACTAAAACTTAGCTTCTTCAAAGCCCAGAGTGCTTTATGCTCAAGCTCAACCGGCAAATGACATGCCTTTCTTAAAACCAATTGATATGTAGACATACCAATAGGTGTCTTGAAAGCTGTCCGATATTCCGATAGAGCATCATCCAACTTCCGTGCCCAATCTATCATGTTGGCATTCACCGTTTTAGCCAAAATTGCTTGGATTTCTCTATTGGAGACTTCCACTTGGCCACTGGTACGTGGGTGATAAGGTGTTGCTACCTTGTGCTGTTTAACTCCATATTTAGCCAGAAGAGAACTGAACACCTTATTGTAGAAATGAAAACCACTATCACTGATGATAGCTTTGGGTGTGCCGAACCTTGAGAAGATATTCTTCTTTAGAAAACCAGCAACAGTCTTACCATCATTCTCAAGCAAAGCAACTGCCTCAACCCATTTGGACACATAGTCCACTACAACCAGAATGTATTTTTGCCCATAAGAGCTCACAAATGGGCCTATGAAGTCGATTCCCCACACATCAAACAGCCCCAGCTCTAGAATAGGTGTCATGGTTAACTCATGGCGCCAAGAGATGGCTCCTTGACGCTGGCACACATCACAACTCCTCACTACATCCATCGCACCCTGATGAATTGTGGGCCAGTAGTACCCACACTGAAGTATCTTATGATCTGTCCGAGCACCTCAATAATGACCACCTACCGAAGATGAGTGACAAGCTTCTAGAATATGCAACATCTCAGCTTCAGGAACACATCTCTTATGATGTTGTCAGCACACACACTATACAGATAAGGTTCATCACAAAAATACTTACCCACAACATGCAAGAACCTCTTCATGTGTTGATAAGTCACCCCTCAAGCAACAAATCACTAACAAGATAGTTAGCAAAATCAACAAACCAAGGAATAAGATCAAGAGTAGTGGCTAATACCTGCTCGTCTGGGAACGAATCATTTATGTCGAGTTGAGTTCCTCTTTCTTTTCAGCCTCCAACCTCGACAGGTGATCAGCTACTTGGTTTTCACAACCTTTCATATCCTTAACCTCAAAGTCAAATTCCGGAAGAAGTAATACCCATCTGATCAATCTTGGTTTGGCATCCTTCTTTGCCATGAGGTATCTCAGAGCTGCATGGTCTGTATGGACTATCACTCTAGTACCCAGCAAATAAGCTCTGAACTTCTCAAAAGCATACACTACAGCCAACAGTTCCTGTTCAGTAACTGTGTAGTTTCGCTGTGCTCTATTCAGTGACTTACTAGCATAGTAAATCGGATGAAACATCTTGTTGCGAGCCCAACACTACTCCCAAAGAAGTACCCTTGCATCACATATCACTTCAAATGGCTCTGCCCAACACAACTTCTCTTTCAGGCATTCAAAGGCTCTAAGACATGCCTCATCAAAAATGAATTTCACCTCCTTCTCCAAAAGTTTGCACATAGGGTGTGCAATTTTGGAGAAGTCCTTGATGAAACACCTATAAAATCTGGCATGTCCTAAGAAGCTCCGAACACCCTTCACACAAATAGGTGGAGGCAACTTTTCAATCACCTCAATTTTCTCCTTGTCGACCTCTATCCCCTTTTGTGACACCTTGTTCCCAAGGACTATGCCTTCTTTAACCATAAAATGGCACTTTTCCCAGTTCAGCACTAGGATGGCTTCCTCACACCTTTGTAGGGCCCTGCTAAGATTTAACAATCATTAAAGGTATCACCTACCACTGAAAAGTCATCCATAAATACCTCCAGAGTATCTTCTACAATGTCTGAGAAGATAGATATTATATACCTTGTCATACACCTTTGGAACATTGCTAGTGCATAACATAGTCCAAATGACATGCATTTAAACGCAAAGGTGCTATAAGGACATGTAAAGGTGGTCTTTTCCTAATCTTCAAGAGCAATTGATATCTGTTTGTAGCCAGAGTATCCATCTAAAAAGCAGTACCAACCTTTGCCAGCCAACCTATCAAGCATCTGGTCCATGAAAGGCATCGGGAAGTGATCATTTAGGGTCCACTTGTTCAGCTTCCTGTAATCCATGCACACTCACCATCCAGTGATTGGCCTCTGCGGGACCAACTCATTCTTGGTGTTAGCAACCACAGTCATACCGCCCTTTTTGGGCACACATTGCACCGGACTGACCTAGTGACTTTCAGAAATAGGGTATACCACCCCAACATCCAACCACTTGATGATCTCCTTTTTGACCACCTCTTGCATAGGTGGGTTTAGCCTCCGCTGATGTTCAATGCTTGGGCTGCAGACCTCCTCAAGTTGAATTTTATGGGTGCATATACTCGGAGGTATCCCGATGATGTCAGCAATAGTCCACCCAATGGCCCTCTTGTACCTAATCAACACCTTAATCACAGCTTGGACCTATTCATCATTCAAATCTGCAGCTAAAATCACAGGTAAAGTGTGTTAGTTCCCAAAAATACATACCTCAGGTGACTGGGCAACTTTTTAGTTCCAACACAGGTGGCTTCTCAATGGATAGTTTTGCTGAAGGGTTTGGCCTGTTTTTCGAATCTAGATCCAACTTCTTTGGAGAATAAGAGTGTGCTCCCATACCCTGCAATGCATTTACTATCTCTAAATAATCAAACCTGAAGTCAGCTTCAAAGTTCATCAGTATTGTTACTAAGGTTTCAACAGCCATCCGCTCTTCAATTGATGCTCCCATTTCTTCTTCATCAAAGACCGCTATTGCAGACACCACATTCATATCATGTAGCTGCTTCATGGACCTGCAAATATTAAACTTTACCTCTTCATTGTTGAGTCTGAATTTCAGTTCTCCTCGCTCAACATCTACCAATGCTCGTCCTGTGGCAAAAAATGGTCTTCCCAAAATAATGGGAACCTCAAATTCCATTTTTCAATCCAAGATCACGAAGTCTGCCGAAAAGATGAACGTATCCACCTTTACAAGCACTTCACATAGTATCCCCATAGGTCGGTTTAATTCTTAAACGTACGAAAAATACAAAAATCAAGAAAAAAACATAAAAACACCTCAAAAATTTCACGAATCGCACCTATCACCTTCGAATATCGATATGAATAAAATATCAAAATTTCACATTTTTTCGTGACTTTTCGAAAAATATCTAAAAAATTTAATTCGTAAACGTCCAAAAGTATAAAAATCAAGAAAAAGACATAAAAACACCTCAAAAATTCACAAATCGCACTAGTCACCTTAAAATATCGATACAAATAAAATACCAAAATTTCACATTTTTTGTAACTGCTCAAAAAATATCAAAATTTTTAATTCGTAAACGTCAGAAAAATATAAAAAACAAGAAAAAGACATAAAAAGCACCTCAAAAATTCCCGAATCACAGCAGTCACCTTACAATATCGATACGAATAAAATATCAAAATTTCACTATTTTTGTGACTGCCCAAAAAATATCAAAAAAATAATAATTCGTAAACGTCTGAAAAATATAAAAATCAAGAAAAAGACATAAAAACACCTCTAAAAATTACGAATCGCACCAGTCACCTTAGAATATCGATATGAATAAAATACCAAAATATCACATTTTTTGGGAGTGCCCGAAAAATATTAAAAATTTTAATTCGTAAACGTTAGAAAAATATAAAAAAAATAAGAAAAAGACATAAAAACACTTCAAAAAATTCTTGAATTGCATCAATCACCTTATAATATCGATACGAATCAAATATCAAATTTTCACATTTTTTTGGTTTTTGCCCGAAAAATATCAAAAAAAATTATTCATAAATGTCTAAAAAATATAAAAATCAAGAAAAAAACATAAAAACACCTCAAAATTTTCCCGAATCGTACCAGTCACCTTAGAATATCGATACGAATAAGATATCAAAATTTCAAATTTTTCCGTGACTACCCAAAAAATATCAAAATTTTTAATTCGTAAAGGTCTGAAAAATATAAAAATCAAGAAAAGACATAAAAACACCTCAAAAATTCGCGACTTGCACCACTCACCTTAGAATATCGACACGAATAAAATTCGAATCACACAAGTCACCTTTTAATAACGATTCGAATAAGATAACAAAATTTAACATTTTTTCGTGACATCCCGGAAAATATAAAAAAAATTAATTCGTAAACCTCTGAAAAATATAAAAATCAAGAAAAGGATATAAAAACACCTCAAAAAATTCCCGAATCGCACCATTTACCTTAGAATATCTATACGAATAAAATAGAAAATTTCACATTTTTTCATGACTGCCAAAAATATGTGACATCCCGGAAAATATAAAAAAAATTAATTCGTAAACGTTAGAAAAATGTAAAATTCAAGAAAAAGACATAAAAACACCTCAAAAATTCCCGAATCACACCAGTTACCTTACAATATCGATACGAATAAAATATCAAAATTTCACATTTTTTCGCTATTGCCCAAAAAATATCAAAAAGGTTTAATTCATAAACGTCCGAAAAATATAAAAATCAAGAAAAAACATAAAAACACCTCAAAAAATTCCTGAATCGCACCTCTCACCTTAGAATATCGATACAAATAAAATTTCACATTTATTCGTGACTGCGCGAAAAATATCAAAAAACTTAATTCATAAACGTCCGAAAAATATAAAAATCAAGAAAAAGACAGAAAACACCTCAAAAAAATCTCGAATCGGACCAGTCACCTTAGAATATCGATATGAATACAGTATCAAAATTTCATATTTTTTCGTGACTGCCCAAAAAATATCAAAATTTTTAATTCGTAAACGTTTGAAAAATATAAAAATAAAAAAAACATAAAAACAAATTAAAAAATTCTTGAATCGCACCATTTACTTTAGAATATCGATACAAAAAAAATGTTAAAATTTCACATTTTTCGTGACTGCCCGAAAAATATCTAAAAAGTTTTAATTCGTTTCGTAAACGTCAGAAAAATATAAAAATCAAGAAAAAGACATAAAACACCTCAAAAAATTCCCGAATCGCACCATTCACCTTAGAATATCGAGACGAATAAAATATAAAAATTTAACATTTTTTCGTGACTTCTCAAAAAATATCAAAAAATTTAATTCGTAAACGTCTGAAAAATATAATAATCAAGAAAAAAACTTAAAAACACCTTAAAAAATTCCCGAATCGCATCAGTCACCTTAGAATATCGATACGAATAAATGGCAAAATGGTCTAATAGACCCTTGTACTTGTATGTGTTTGTATTTTGAACCCTTTTACTTAGTCATTTACCAACTGAACCCTTAAACTCAATGAAGCTCGGCATTTTGAACCTCTTTGGCCTTGTGTGAACTTCAAACACCCAATAAAAATGACATGTCATCATCCACATCAGATTTTATATGACATGTCACTTATTATTTATTTTTTTAAAATAAATTATCTTTTTCCTCTTTTTTCACTCTATCTTCTTCATATCATTTAACCAACACATGTAAAATCTTTTTCTCCATTGATGCCAATGAATCGGCATTAAAGTATTTCAATATATTATAATATTTATACACAATTTTATCCAACATAGTTCCTCTAATTTATACATTCAATAATTACTTTTATCCTTTCAAAACTACCGGATCTTTGTCACTTTACCCTAG